TAGACTCCTACTTCCTTCCTCCAGGTATTGATGGTCAAGTATTCCTGCTGAAACGGGTAGATCAAGCCGGTAAAATTAGAGAGCAGAAAACTTTTTTTGAGAAAAAAGAAAAAAAAAACTGCACCACATTTAAATCCTAAATAAGCCAGAGCAAGAAACTGTGGAAAATCCTAAATTAAAACTAATATTTGAGGATGATGGGAAATAATGAACCAAATCAATCAATGGGCAGAAAGGACAGGCAAGTTGTGTGATATTTTTCAAAGAATCAAATATATAATAGTAGCTGTAGTGCTCCTGGGGATCAGAACTGCAGAGTAGCTGAAAAACAGTTGTCAACCGATATGGGGAGAAAATGACCAGAGAACTGGACAGACAGGGAAAAAAAAACACATTATAGAGAAAGAGAAAGGAGGGGTGATACCAACATATCCTGTAAAACAGTTAATAATTGCATTTGAGCGTTCAGGCTATGTAAATGTCCTTTGCAAATGAGAGTATAGATTTGCTTGCAAATGGTAACATGGTAAGCATGCTAAACAAACATGACATAGTACTTTTTAAAAAATAACTAGAGCATCATGTTGTCAGCAATATCCACAGACATCTCAAGTTTCTAGGAAACTATGGTCTATTAAGAAATGTGCAGTGCCTAGTGGGTTCCCACGGGTGGGAGTGAGCAATAAAAGTAAAATAGACATTTCTCCCCACACTCCTCTGTGAATTAAAAGGGATTGATGGTGCTGGAGAGTTGGCTCCCAGGAGTTCACACTGCTCTTACAGAGGACCAGAGTTCAGGTCCTAGCATCTGTGTCAGATGGCTCCTGACCACCTGTAATTCCAGCTCTGGGAACTCATATGCCCTCTTCTGGCCTCCGTGGGCAACTGCACTCACACTCACATACACCCCAGACACAGACGCATAAACACATTTAAAAATAAAAAGCAACTTTTAAAAAATCAGAGATTGGCTTGATAGTTCCAAGTGAGTGTCATGGTAATTTTTTTTGTAGGGTTAGAAGCCTCAGACTTCTGACTTTCACGAAGATTCTCTAGTGGAACCAGAGCCTACTTAAGAACACATCCTTAGCCAAAATAAATGGTCCTCCAGTTCTGGAGCTTGAAACTGCGTCACATCTGCGCTGCCACGACCCACTCCGCTCTAGTCCTACCCTCTGTGTAAAGAGTCTGAGAAGGGAAAAGGCTCCAGGAGAAACTAAGTTGGTGTGTGCTTAGATCTGGTGTGCACGACCCTGGGAAATCTGAAATGCATTGAGACCGGCTAATCATCTTCCACAGCTAACCAAGTGATCACTGATTAAAAATAGCATTGAACGTGTATTGGGCATCTATTTCTGGCCTCATTTTATTTGGAATGCAAATCCTGTTGGAAGCCAGAGCGGCATAAGCAGCAGCTGGAAATCAACTCAGAACATTCCAGCCAATTCACGTCGAGCCCAGTTGGCAGAATTAATGCCATTCTGCCGTCTCAGCGAAGGAGAGGTGGTTAATTATGCCCCACTGCCCAGCGGTTTCTATTATGGACACATCTGGACTGAAAGGCTCATTGGAAATCGCCAGTCTCTCAGCTTCCCAGAGCCTAAATCAAGTTGAGGGGGTGATTTGTGAGGAAATGAGCAGAGGGAGTTTGAGCAAACAGCTTCGCCCATGGGGGCCCGGAAGGCCCTGATGAAAGTCTGCTGGAGTTTCAAAGGGCCTTGCTCAACCCCAGTGCTCGGGCTTCCGTCAGTGCTGTCTTCCAGCTCCTAACGCAACAGTGTCTGGACAGGCTGTGCTGTAAATAATAAATAAAACACACACATTCATGCCTGCACCTCAGGGCAAGTCAGTTTAGTTTGCCCGGTGCCCTCCACTACCGCAGGCTGTGATGTTTTCATCTTTCCTAAAAGAAAGTAAGGCTGGGACCTTGTCTGGCTTTGAACAAAAAGCCTTTCAAGAAATGTCTATGTCCTGTATCAAGACATGCAGCCGTCTGTTCTAAGGAAAACTTTCCTCCAGATGAATGATGCGGCCTCTTGGCTTGGCAGTGGGAAGCGCTCCATGAGGATGTCTCTGTTGGAGGTGCCATCATTGAGAGGAAAATTAAAACAGACCATCACTCAAACCCGAGGGTGGCCGTGGAAATCCTCCAGGGTTTCAATTTTAGGAGCTGGATCACTTTCTTCTTGCCACTGGTATTTTCTACTGGACATATTGAGGAAGTTCTGTTTGACAAAATAAAAATATATAATGATCAAACCAGAATAGTCGTCAGCCTTATTTAGGTACCAGTCCTTTGTGTTGGGCAGCTTCAAACTTTCCCAGCTCTTAAAACGGCAACATCCAAACATTATTGTGAATGGTAGTCACTTTGCTGTGTTTGGGAGCCTCTCATTAACTCTCTCTTTTCTAGTGGGCACTACTCAGCTCTTTCCTTCTGTGGAATCAACTCTCAGTTCTCACGAAGTGAGACTACGTATTATTTTCCATACCTGGCTTGTTTCACTGAACCCCAAACAGGTCAAGTCTCCCATCTCCCTTGCTCCTACATGTTCCTGAAAGACAAATGGAGTTCTGCCAGTATGGAAGAAGCTCAGATCCAGTAGGACCCTAAAGCTGAGGGCCTGGACCAGGCTCAGTTGTTGTATTCCTTGTCCCCACCCCGGGGGTGTCAGAAGCCCCAAGAAACCATTCCCTCACTCTCCATCCTCCCTCAAACTGCCTGATAACTAATATCCATGTCTAGTACCTTCCTTTATGTCAAAGCCTACAAGATTTCATCCTTAATAAACTTCAAATTTGTCTCATGAACATTCACAACTCTGGCCACAGGAGCTGAAGTCAGGGCGGTACCACAAGGACCAACACACAGGTGCCCTCAATATGTCATGGAGACTGATCACACGCTTTTCACATCTTTATAGCATCGGGACACTAAGGAGGAGACTCAAGAGTTACCTGGCCCGGACACAGACAACATTCAGAAGCAAGAACCCTCTGATCTGGGATCCCAGCCTCAGAAACAGTCTGCATAAAGTCCCAGAATAGCAAATACGAGCTTCTGGAAGCATCTCTTGCAATAGGTTCCCATGAAAGCAATGTGAGTATGAAACTTCCCACCAGTTAGAGGATAACAGGCTAAGGCCAGACTTGGGGGTTGAGATTCTAGGACTGTTCAACCCCAAGCACAAAGACAGAATCCTAAAGGAAGAACCTGGTGGTATGCAAACAGGGTGTCCTTTGGATGCAGAGATTTGCATTCAAACCCCAGGTGGGCTGCAAGAGCTGTCCCAGTGTAAAGCTTTCTGCTTTCTGAGCCTTGACTATCCCGTGAATTACACTGGACAAGATATGGATATGAAAGTGTGTTCAGTGTAACTGTGAGTTATCTGGCTCCCTCCATGGAGGATTCCTTGGTTCTCTTGCCCAGTTACAGATTAGAATCGGGGGCATTTATTTATGCCTTCTCAACAGAGCTAACTTCCTTTTCCTGGAGACTGGGATGTAATCATCTAGGATGAGACTCAGTCATCCTAATCTAAATATTTTGTTGCTTTATTTTTAATCTGACCCAGATTAATAGCTACTGCCCAAATACATCAAGATAAGTATCGTCTTTGGACTTGAAATTTATATTACAGTTTAGGCAAATAGCTTACTTCTCTGGGTCTAGATTTACTACTAAAAAGAGGAACAATATTCTGGTTTAATAGGTTGTTTAGAATATTTGCTAAGATATGTTTGCAAGGCTCCTAAAATAATAGTTGACGGCTAGTAACTGCACAACAAATATTCACTTCCTGCACTCCGCTCATTTCTTTTCTTATCATTAGTCAAGCACACATGTGCTAAAATATTGACAATATAAATAAGGATGATAGATAAAAGGTACCATGTCTGTCATCTTTGAAATTAAAGTATTACGAACTACCACCTCCAAAACTGTTTCACCTTATTCTCAGCTATAACGTAGGCTTAAATCCTAGAATAGAGGTGGTAATTTTGTTATATAGGTACCCAATTCCTCTTTCCCATGCTCAGGGCAGACATCACTAATCAATTACAACGCTCTTTCCTATTGAACTCATATGATGACTCAAAAGTTCTTTACTCCACAGACTCCACTAATAAACATCCATGGCATACATTTAAAAAATTACCCATCCTTATCATAGATCAAGGGCAACCTCAAGGCTGCAAATGAGGCTAAATTCGGAGTAGATGGAGACTGATTAACCAAAGATGAAAGCAGACCCCGAGGGTGCCACAGTTCTGTGAAATCTGATCTGTCCTCAGAGAAGAATTTGTGCTTTCTAATGTGTGGAAGGAGAGCTAAGCGTGAGTAAACGCCAGGGCTGAACTGAAAGCGCCACGGCTACCACCCATGGTTTCCAAAAAGGACGAGATTATTTCTCTGACTTCAGAAACATGGTGCTGGCTGCCCCGGCTTTACGCACCTAAGGTGATGGGCAGGATCTAATGAGCAAACCCCACGAAGCTCAAGCCAGCCGGTGACTGCCTGTGTGTTTGTCACAGCTGAGATCTCATGAACGCCAAAGATGCCTGGGGTCCTCATTTACTGTGCTGGCCCTAATCAAGCACTTCTACTGGTAGAGGCGGCTGCTCTAACTCCTTGTTAATGGTTATGCCCTTGAAGGGCCGCAAGCATGCTCACTCTTTACAGTGTAGCGCCTCTGCTGGCCAACGCCTGGTAAGGCTGAGCCGCTAACATCAGGAGTGGGATATCCTGTTGGGAGCCCTGCGGTGAAAAGATTTTTTATCTGGATCCTGAAAACTGTAATATCATACTCATCTTTACTTTTTTCCAACATTTTTCTTAGTAATGCCTGTTTAAAAATACAGCGAGATAAATGTTTGGTCTCTGTGAAGAACTCTTTCCTGGCACGGTTCCTTCCCAGCAGCCTTCGCCACACCCATGACCATGCTGTGTCTCCTCTTCTTCAGCAAACACTGCAGGTTTCTGAGTCAGTCCCTCGCCCTCAGTCTTTTCCTTTATGAATCAAATTCATTTTCAATCCACTGCTTAGAGGGAGCGCATTTTTTTTCTCTTCTATGAAGAGAACTTTTTCTCTTGGATCATAATGCAGAAAAATCAGCTTTTCTCGGAGTCAGCTTCTCTCGTGTTGAAGGAGAAACCTGCCCCAGCTTGACTCACCAGTCTCACCAGAATACTATTTGACTTGCTCTTGGCAAAAGAGATGGCAGAAAGCAGCATGGCGTCAGTCCTGGTACCCTATGTCAGCTTTATTTCTTTCTCTTTGTTTGTTTGTTTGTTTTTTATTTGGTTGGTTGGATTTGGTTTTGGTTTGTTTGCTTGTTGGTCGGTTGGTTTTTTGAGACAGAGTTTTTCTGTAGCTTTGGAGCCTGGATTTGGTTTTTAAAGACAGTTTTTTCTTGTGTAGCCCTGACTGTCCTAAAATTCACTCTGTAGACCAGGTTGGCCTCAAACTCACAGAGATCCACCTGCCTCTGCCTCCATCATGCTGGGATTAAGGGCATGTGCCACCACTGTCTGGTTTATTCCTTATCTTTTAAAGACCTAGCAAATGGATTTTTGTTTTTTTTTTTTTTTTTGGTTTTTCGAGACAGGGTTTCTCTGTGGTTTTGGAGCCTGTCCTGGAACTAGCTCTTGTAGACCAGGCTGGTCTCGAACTCACAAAGATCCGCCTGCCTCTGCCTCCCAAGTGCTGGGATTAAAGGCGTGCGCCACCACCGCCCGGCTGGATTTTTGTTTTTTGTTTTGTTTTTTTTTTGGTTTTTTCGAGACAAGGTTTCTCTGTGGTTTTGGATCCTGTCCTGGAACTAGCTCTGTAGACCAGGCTGGTCTCGAACTCACAGAGATCCGCCTGCCTCTGCCTCCCGAGTGCTGGGATTACAGGCGTGCGCCACCACCGCCCGGCCCCAAATGGATTTTTGTTGTTTGGGGCTTTGCAGGGGGGAGGGGGGTTGTTTTGTTTTGTCTTTTTTGTTTGGTTTTTTTTTTTTTTTGCTTGTTTATGGTTTTGTGTAGACATTCAAAACTGGGAGCTAGGAAATAGATGGACTGCAGATTAGTTTGGAGGGCTAACTTTGTTCGGTTTTTGTTTTTCTTCTAAAACCTGCCACATTGTCCCTTCACTCCCCTTCCCAACTGTGAGAAGTCAGGACGACAATAGAAATCTAAAGCTGGTGAAGGTCTGGGGGCCACCGAGGCACCTCAGAGACCAGGAGTGCTGGGCCAAAAGCAGGCGAAACAACAGGAAACGGATGGGATGAGAAGTGGTAGGAGGGACAAAGAGAGGGGTGTGGCTGAGATGGAGAAAATAAGTAAATATACGGGGGAAAAAAAAGGAACCAAAATCCTCATTCTCAGAGGAGGTGTTTAGAAACACTGGAGGAAAATCCAAGAAAAGAAAAAGAAAGAGCCATTGAGGAATTGAATTGGAATTGAGGTATTAGGCATGGACGCCTATATCTATTGTATGTATGTGTATATATATATATTGTAGATTACTAGTTATAGGTGTGTGTGCATGCATCTGTATGCATATATAAATGAGATAAAACTACTTGGGCCTAATAACAGCATAATGAGAATCCAGATTTTGATTTGCAGATGCTATGCTTTATTAAAAGGAAGCAGAAACCCTGGGGGCAAATGATTTACTCTGGAGCTGAAACAGGAAATGTACAACTTGAACCCAGGAATATCTTATGACTGAAAGGAAGAAAGCACTCGTGGGTGCAGCAAAAGGCGTCAAAAATAATGGCAGTGATGGGTCACAACCTTTGACTAAAGTCAGACTCCATATGTCTGTGTACATTAATACAAATAAGTGAATGAGAAAAAAGCTCTCATTTATGGTTCAGTGCCAACTAATAAAAACAGAAGACACAGTGGGAAAAGACACGCCTCATTTAGCAAACGGCATAAAGGATGCTTCAGTTAGGGTTCCTGGTGCTGTGAAGAGACACCATGGCCATGGCAACTCTTATAAAGGAAAACCTTAAATTGGGACTGGCTTATGGTTCAGAGGTTCAGCCCATTATCATCATGGTGGGACATGGCAGTGTGCAGGCAGACATGGTGCTGGTGAAGCAGCTGAGAATTCTACATCTTGCAGGTAACAGGAAGTCAACTGAAAGTCATACTGAGCAAAGCTTGAGCAAAAGAGACCTCAAAGTCTACCACCAGAGTGACACATTTCCTGCATCAAGGCCACACCCACTTAACAAAGCCACACCCCCTAATAGTGCCGCTTCCTTTGGGAGCCATTTTCTTTCAAACCACCACAGTGGATGAATCTGAGAGTGGAGGCTGAAGCAAATACTTGGAAATTTGATAAGACACAGGATTTCTCTCAGACTATTCCCCCACAAAACACGGATCAATTGCAGCAGAGAATGTGGCATTTTAGGCAGAGAATTCCTAAAAGCGTCAGCCTGAGCCTCCGGATGTGAGACTCTATGGAGAGAGCATGTTTGTAGACTTACAACCAAGAATGCAAAGTCTTGGTCTGATCATAAAAAAAATAAGCTGGGGAGGTGGTGGTGCACACCTTTTATTCCAGCCCTTGGGAGGTAGAGGCAGGCAGATCTCTGAGTTCCAGGCCAGTCTGGTCTACAGAGCAAGTTCCAGGACAGCCAGGACTACACAGAGGAGAAAGGAATTTGGATGACTCTTGGTGAGAAACCAATTCAGCCAGTGAACTGAACAGGGCTGCCCACACCACATCAGGATATCAGGTTTGAAGAGCCACATGTTGGTGCTGGAGGAAAGAGCACTCTTCTAAGGAAAGCAGCAAGAATGTGGTAAAGGGAGGTGCCGTTATGTTTCCCATTCCCACCCAAACATATCAGAAAAAAAACGCCATTTGCAGCCATAAATAGGGAGACAATGGGCAGGCAACAGAAGACACACAAAATATTAGTGATTGATGAATCTGGTGGAGAGATGAGGAAGTGCTTACATTCCAGAAGCTTCTAAATAATTTCAAGATGAATTAAAGGAGATCTATTATATAAAATATATATTCATCTATGCATATATTCTGACACACATTCAGGGAGATGCAAATTAAAACTATAGGAGATTCTCTAACATATCCACAAACACAGCTAAAGTTAGCACCCAATGTTCCAAGGGATTTGGAAGGAGAGAGCCTGTTCATGGGAATGTAAAATGACCTGGCCATGTTGGGGAGAGAGTTGACAGTGTTATAAAGATAACATGACCCTATGACTCAGGAATTCCACTCCAATGTTATTTTCCCAAGAAAATTTAAATTGTATATTCACAAAATAGAAGTGTTATCAGAGACACTTTACCAACGGAAGCCAAAGATCAGAAATAGGCCTTCCATCAAAAGTAAACTAAACAAGAGTTACACAATGCAACGCCACCAGATAAGAGCAAAGAATTTATAAACAGTAGCAAAGAGGGAATTGCAAGAACACGCTGCATGAAGAAAGCGCTGTGACTCATTCCACAGATGTGACATTCACCAATGGGTAGCAACGGTTGGGTTAGGTAGTAGGGACAACAAAATAGTGGTTGCCTGGCAGGGAGTGATGTGGACATGAGACACTACGGGGTCAGAAACAAGAGGGGCCTCCCAGGCATAGTAACAGTCTCCCTTGCCGGGGTCACAGACAAGAGGGGCCTCCCAGGCATAGTAACAGTTTCTCTTGCCGGGGTCAGAGACAAGAGGGGCCTCCCAGGCATAGTAACAGTCTCTCTTGCCGGGGTCAGAGACAAGAGGGGTCTCCCAGGCATAGTAACAGTCTCTCTTGCCGGGGTCAGAGACAAGAGGGGTCTCCCAGGCATAGTAACAGTCTCTCTTGCGGGGGTCAGAGACAAGAGGGGTCTCCCAGGCATAGTAACAGTCTCTCTTGCCGGGGTCAGAGACAAGAGGGGTCTCCCAGGCATAGTAACAGTCTCTCTTGCCGGGGTCAGAGACAAGAGGGGTCTCCCAGGCATAGTAACAGTCTCTCTTGCGGGGGTCAGAGACAAGAGGGGCCTCCCAGGCATAGTAACAGTCTCTCTTGCCGGGGTCAGAGACAAGAGGGGTCTCCCAGGCATAGTAACAGTCACACAGGTACAGGCACTAATCAAAGCTTATCGAATCTCACGCTGAAGATTTGCATATTTCTATGTGAGCAAAAAAAAAATTACCACAAAAAAGAGGGAAAAAATGAGAAATGTTGGACAATAGGCTATTTATGTACATATTGACCTATTCAGAGGGGACTGTGCTGTGTCAGCAATTTGTTCTGAAATGCATTTTACCTTGAGGTGGATCAATGGGCGGCTGGAGAAATTTTAAGCATAGAATACAGATGACAGCTGTTGAGAGTTCTGTGTAATTTTTTTGGTAATCTTTCTGTATGCTTGATAATCCCCATAATAAAGTGTTGGGAAATGTGTGTGTATATTAAAATCGAAATCTCTTGCTGCCGACCTGCAGTTTGGAGCCACTGAGATAAAAACAGCAAACAGTGAAGTACCTGATGAACCGAGAAAACTGGAAAAAATTGTTCCAGGGCATTGTCCCCAATGGGTGTCCTAGGAGACATGTGATAACGAAGATTTATGGGTCAGCTCTGCACATCATCTTCAGTGTGAGAGATCACTCAGAGTGACGACTCTCCTTGCCGGTTGATGGATAGTACACTCGGAGACACCGATTGACCCCAGCGTTTTTCTCTGTCTTCTTCTGAACTGTTAGCAGTTGACCAAGTTGTGTGAGAAGAGCTTTTCTGGACGTCGCGTCTCTTCGGATCTAGAGCCACTGTAGTCTAACAGAAGTGCACCTTGGAATAAAATTCTCTGCTCCTCAGCTAATACGTTCCATGGCAGTGCTTACCATATCACATGGAGTATAATGCTACTTGATTTAAGCTTATCATATCCTTGGATATTTCCCCACGTCGATATATAAGTTATACTATCTATAAGAGGGAAATGTTAGTGTAAAGCCTGAATTATGCAACCTTTATAAATAATACGGGACAATGCCTAGCATATAGTAATTACTTAACTTAGGTTAGCTATTGTTATTCCTTTGGGAAAATGTTTCATAATATGTATAATCAATTCCTAGACGTGTAGGTTGCTTCAATTTCCCTACTATACATAATAAGAAAATGAAGCCACCTTACATATACTCTTGATTCATGTAATGCTTCTAGGACAAATTCACTAGAGTGAGACTGGGAAGTTGGCATGGTGGGTAA